CCCCAAAACCCCAAAACCCCAAAACCCCATGATGCAAAGCTAATTCATATTTCTGGGAAAAATTAATTGAGAAATATTTACAGTAAAAGTAAAGAAATGAAATTACTGGAAAAAACAAGATCAAAATGGGCAATTAAAATTTTAACATTTATTAAGGATGAAAGAGCAAAATCATTTTAGAGCTTGAGTTATGCCTACTTAAAGCAGATCTAACATGCAATATGATAAATCTTGATTTAATTATAGATTAACATTAAGTTTAGTCATTTAAAGTTCGTATAATAATTATAAATAATTATATATATATTAAGCCTATATATGGAAAGCGGTCCATCAAAATCAGGAGGAATCGAGTACAATATTGTTATCAAGCCAGATGAATCTGATCAGCAAGCAAATGAACCTGCTTTAGTATAAGTATAGAGTGGGTTCTACAGAATGGAGACAGTTGGTCTGAAAGATAGGTCTCGATCTAAGCCAGCAGAGCCATCTAACTAAACTCTGTTGACTAAAGAAAAATATTAGATAGAAAGTTATGTTTCTTAAGGCACTTACGGTCCAATATATTTTGGACGGCATGGGATCAAAGATTTTTCACTGGTTTTAAAGTTTGTATATAATTTCATCCTCCTAATCATTATTATGTAGTATGATTAAAAAGATAAGACTACGAGGAAATAGTATTTCGAAACTGAAGAGTAAGTTTTGAAGCAAATTAAAGCTTTAAACTTGAAGGGATTCCCAACCATTATTTCAAGTGGCTTTCACGAGGAAATGAACATGAAATTCATTGCAGTTAACAAATTTGACATAGACTTAGAAACCTTATATTTGAAACTTAATAAAACTCTCAAAAAGACTACAATCATCAATATTGCCATTCAACTAGTAAGAATATAATCTATCGAAATATGATTGTATTTAGATAGAAAGATTAGAGAAATTGCATGGGCTTGGCTTTGTTCACAATGATGTCAAGACTCAAAATATTTTGCTCAATTACACTTCGAATCTCATCGTATTGGGAGATTTTACCATGGTTACATCGGGGTTAAATCTAGATTCAAAAGATTCAAAGAAAGAGAGGTCAGTTTTTAAGGGAGCTCCATTGTTTACATCAGTGAATATTTTGAATGGTAAACCTGCATCAATGAAAGACGATCTTGAATCAATAGGATACATTATCATCTATCTACTTTGCGGTTAACTTCCCTGGATCATTAATAAGAAGCAGAAATTATCATAAATTACTAGGAAGTAAATGATAGAAGATGAAAGTGATATTTAGAGACTGATCCATTTAAGAAATCCCAATACACTTTGTCTAAATTTAGATGGTAACTAATAGTTCTCCATTTATACTTTTATTATAGGTGAAATAGGATAATATTTGCATTACTGCTAAAATTTATCAAGACTAAAAAGACCAGATTATAAAATGTTAAAAAACCTACTTTTGGATATAAGGAGAAGAGATGACATGAGTGACAATCTTGAATGGTACGAAGAGTATATGAGATAAAAATTGCTACAAGAAAAATAGTAAAATGTTGAAAAGCTGCAACTACCAAATTAACTAAACGGAACTATTGTTGTCAACCCGACTCAAGCAAGTTAGAGAAGACCTTTAAGCAGTTATAAGAATAAACTATTAAGCTAAGATCAAGGAGGTATTCAAACACCTAGCAATAGCAATAATCCTTAAAATATGTTCAGTTCATAAAAAAAAATTTAAAGAATCAGAAGAGTATCAGTTTAAGTTCCAAGATTGAGTGGAATGGGGAAACTTATTGAAAAAGACAAAGAGGCGATGGTTATAGGACCATTGGGGAAAAACTAAAAGTCCTAACTAAAACTAGAAGTAATCGAGGATGAAAATATAGTGAATGGTAATAAAACAATAATAAAAAGGAAAGTATTCAAGAGAAAGAAAACCATTAAAAAGAAAAAAACACTAGTTTAAAAACTTGACAACTAAGTCATGCAGAACGAAGAAGAGAAGAAAGATGAATAAAATGAAAATGGGCAAGATAATGAAATATAGGATTTTGAGGATTCGGAAGAAGAAAATGAAGACAAGATTAAGGTCAATATGGTAGAAGAGGACTCGTACCATTAGCCATAGTCAGTTAAAAATTCAGAATTCAGTGGATCTTAAAAGCAGAATAGCGGATTTAATATAAATGTGAGTCCTGGTGATACTGGGAACATAAATCAATAAGATAGATAGCAAGAAGATAATTAAATCAGGATAGACGATGATGAGGAAAATTTTGAAGATTTGGATTTAGGGGAAAGTGAATACGTTACTGACACTCAAAGAAGAGTAAATAGCAGCACTTTCATAGATAAGTATGATTTTAACGCAAAGAGTAACGATATCAAAGCTATATAATGAGTATCGATGAAGCCTTACTAATATGGTAATTTCCAGACTTCCCAATGTCACACACTTAATACTAATATGAAGGTACATTCTAAATTGAGTAAATCTTTTATTTAATTATGAAAGAATAAAAATTAAAAATTGCTGATGCTCAAATCAGTTAAGATACAGAACTGGGGTTTTGGGGTTTTGGGGTTTTGGGG